AGAGGACCATCAAAGGCCCCTGAACTCACATTTAAAGAAAAAGTATGAGTTTTCTAGCAGAGAAAGGGGAGGAGGTCATGCTAGACAGAGGGAACAGTAAGAGCAAAGGCACTGATGCATATGGGGGTGCAAGCAGGCCAGTATGGCTGATTGCAGGGTGCCATGGGGAGAAATGATGGGAGATGGGATTAGAAAGGAAAGTAATGATTGTCAGGGGTCAGGAATGCTGGGCTGAGGGCCTTTGCCTTTCTGCCATAGCAAATCAGAGACTTGGGAGAGGGGGCTTTGGCAGGAGGGCAGTGTGGTTAGAGCTCACCACTGCCATTCTCTAAGTACCCTAGGCTAGTCTGTTTCCCATCACCCACGAGAAACTTGGAGGGGAGAGGAGGGACAGGGGAGCAGTCCAAAGCAGCCCTCAAAGACGGTCAGCCAGGCCTCCTGACCCCAGCCTGGCCGTCTTCCCAGCACACCAGGCTCAGTCCCCATCCCCAGGCACCCAGACAAACCCCTCCGCCTCCCATGACAAAGAGGCTCATTTGGAGCCCGGGCAAGATTTGCAAACGTCAAACTTGTAATTACAAGGATGAAATCATCTGGTTCCTTTTAAGCAAACGGGTTTATTGATCCCAACACTGAAGAAATGCTATTCTGGGGAAGCTTGCTCCTCTCAGCTTTCCTCTCCCTCTGGGATGGCTGAGCTGATGGGGGAGGGTGGCAGGGGAGCTAAGAAGGAGAGAACCTCCTGGAAAGGGAAATTCTTAAGGGCCTAAGGGTGAATTTTATGGTATGTAAATTATATCTCAAAAAGAATTCTTTAGGACTCAGGAAACTGCCTCATTTCGGCAGACAACACCTCATCCTGGACTTCAGCCTCTCCATCCAAAACCTAGAAGCTGGGCAGAGTGGGGGCTTTAGGCGCTGTGCCAGCCACTAATTTCTCTTCTTTCCCACCCCCTTCAAGGCTCATTTGTGGCTCCAGGTCCTATTTCAGCTTTAAGATGGTACAATAATTTCCTCAGTAACTAAGGGGAAACTCTTTGTTAGGAAAAATGTACTAGAGGCTCAGGGACCCAGGAGAGGCAGATGTGGGTGGCTGCTGACACCAGACCTGGATGAAGCCATCCTTTCTGCTGAACTTGGGGAGGCAGGATGTCTAGGCCTTGAACTTCCAAGCCAAGGAGGGACACACAGTTGGGCTTAGGGGCAGGAAAGCACAACCATCAAGGGCAAGAGACACATCCTACCACAAAACCCACAATAAGACCCCTGCATTCAACCTGTGGGGGACCCCTTGGGAGCATGGTAGGGTGCTCCAGGAAGAATGACCCCAGCTGTAGCTCTCTGTGAGCTTGCAGTTCGGTTAGGGAGATGAACAGGACTTTTGGTATCTCCACCAGCAGAGGCCTTAGAATGGAATGGTTAAGAGCACGACCCTAGCATCACCAGCCCCTCTGAGCCTCAGTTTCCTCTTCTGTTGAATAGGGTCAATAATACCAAACTTGCAAGGTTATGGCGAGGAGTGAATGAAGATGGTAGACCCAATGCTTAGCCATTTCATTATCTCTAATGGGTCAGCATCTTGTCACTGTCCTATGGTCACTTATTTACTTTTTCAGAGTCTCTAATTCTCATCTGTCAGATGGGGACAAGAAGACCCATCTTAGAAGGTGGCTGTGTGAATTAACTGAGATAAGAGGCATAAAAGCACCCAGCTCAGAGCTTCACAGCTGGGCCAGACAATTGAGAGAGTTACCACCCCCTGCTCGGCGTTACTGTGCATTCTCTGCCTAACCATTCAAGATCAGTCTGGGAGTCCTGCCGGACCCAGGACCCATGCCCACTCAGGAAGGTAGCGAAGAGGAGGCCCTGGGCTGGCTGAATCTTTGGAAAAGGAAAGCTCCAAGTAGCGGGGCTTCAGAGAATTTAGCCCAGTTCTGGAGGTGGGGAGGGTGTTTCTAGGCAACGAATAGATACCCTCAAGCTTCCATCTGTAGGGCCTACTAGAGCTGGCTCTTGGCAAACCCCTCCAGGGAGTGGTGCCTGGACCAATCCATATTCAGTTGGACAGAAGCACAGAGCTAAATATACCTGACATGGGTGAAATTTTCCTTTATTAATTTTCTTTAATCCAGTTTTAAAAATAAGTGAAAAACAATTTAACAACAACAAAAACGGCATACAGAGGTCAGCTGAGGAGATGGCCTGCTTCAGCCTGTGGCTTGTTTTCCGGTCATCCTGGCTGGTTGGACGCCAGACAATGCCGAGTGTGGGTTACCCTGTGGCCTGGAGTTGCCAAAGGCTGTCTGTGGTGCTGCTGTTCTGGGTCTGCCTGGCAGGCTTTCTCATCCCTTTCCCTCAAGACATATTTTCCCACCCCCATGAAGCTGACATTAGAGTACTCTGCCCTGCTCTGCACTCCCACTGCTCCTCATCCAGTTCCCTTGAACCTAGAAGGAATTTGTCTGGACTCTGACCTTTTTCCTTGTCAAAACCCATGGTGTCTGTGTAGGCATCTAGGCCACTGTAGTGATATTTCAACTTTCATTTATTATACATTTCCCATGGCAGAAACAATTATTGCTAGAGTCCAAAGACCAAGATCAGCTGAAGGTCCGTGAGCCCTACCTGGACCCATTGTAGATTAAGACTGCTGCCTTGTGGATCACTTTTTAGAGACAGAAATGGAAAGTATTATACAAATGTCTACCTAGACAGAATATGGTGGTGCTGACTGGTATCACATGGGGTACTCTTTTTTCCTACCATAGAGGCCAACAGCGGACACTCTGTTCCCCTGACCACTGGCCTTCAGACAGTCCTTGTTGACTGGGAGCAAGGTCATCGTCTTCCTCTCATTTAGACAATGACTGTGTTGTTCTAGTGCCCAAAGGTCTTAATTGGACTGGGAAGACTTGAGGTAGAGGGAGCAGATGGATGAAACCTTCTATTCCTTGTGAGTGACTTTGTTCTGCCTTGGCGCGTTGGGGTAGAAGCTGCCTCACTCACCTCTCAACATAAGTTGCAGATGTTTTAAGGCTGGTTTGTCTGCACTTTGCCTGTGCTGATGTGGATATTCCCCCTCCAGTTTCACCAGAACCTTTAGGCCTCAAAATTAAAATGGCATCCTTTTCAAGATGTAGCTGATACAGACTGTCCAGTGGGCCCACAAATGCACTCCTACTCCCTCCTTTTGGGGAAACTATTCTTCCCCTTTTTCAATCATCAGGTTCTCTCTGAGGTTGCCAATCCCGGGCCCCCAATCCCTGATGGGAAAGCATGTGACATAAGCTGGCCAATGTCATCACATCAGCTTGGACATGGTGATTTGGTAGAGGGGAGAGTATGTGACCCAGACTGGGTCAGTCAAAGTCCTTCCCAGGAATTTTATGACTTGGAGATGGAGAAGTGGCTGCTCCCATCCTTTGCCGGGAAATGAATGCCATCGAAGAGAGCCTAAGAGTTAAGCAGTGAGAAGAAATGGAGAAGCAGAAAAGAAAAAGAGACTCTCTCTCTCTCTGTGATTTATTTACTTAAAATAAAACAGACTCCTTTTTAGTTTTAATTTTGCTTGAATTGGGTTTCGGTCACTTACAATTGAAAGAGACCTGAGGGGAAGATTTTGAGATAGATGGAGGCCCAACAATAGTGGTTGGTGACATTCGTATCTATACCCTTTCTATTTGTGTACACACATATATTCACACAGGCTTGGTGTGGGCCAGGGGAGCATGCCCTTGGAAGGAGTCGATTCTCTGTTTTCTTTTCAGAAAGAGTGTTTGTTAAAACCATTGCTGAAAACTCCCTCCCTAACCTTGGGCGATGGATCACTCTCTGGACCTCAGTTAGGGTGAGCAACCATCCCAGTTTGCTGGGGACTGAGTGGTTTCCTGGGACATGGGACTTTCATTGCTAAAACTAGGAAAGTCTCTAGAAAACCAGAACAGTTGGTCACCCTAGCTCAGTTCCATATCTGTAAAAATGAGATTGGACTAGACAAGGGTGGGAAATTCTGCCAAACCTTGCATTCAGGCAGATATTGCCAATGGCCTCAGCACTAATTCCTGTGAGTATAGGTGTATCCTCACAATCTTTTGCAATATAGCCAGCTGCTGTTGGCACCTATTTGCCACCCTTGGACTGAATTTTTGACAAGCTGGAATTTTAAGTATCAGAATTTATTGAGGATCAACTTTGAGTCAAGCTCTGCCATAAATCCCATGTCAGACTCTCTCCAGCTTGTGCTAAATGACTTCCTTAGAACTTGTGGATGTTGTTTCTTAGGATTTGATTGCACATTTGGGTAAATATATGGAATGGCATTAGGTTATATACATAACTCAGCTTGTTCCTCTTTAGAAACTTAAATTGATTGAGTGCTCATGATATGTTAGACGTACACAAGGGCTCTCCCGCTAACACTGCGAGCTTGTGAGTGTGTGCATTTTGGAAATAAGCAAACTGAGGCTTAGCGGTCCAGCGCTTGTCTAAGGCTCCAGCTAGCAGGCAGGGGAGTTGGGTGAGATCCCATCTAAGGCACGTCTGACTCCCACAGTTCCGACCTCTCCACCATGATGCGTATTCAGTTGGATTCTTTGGTCTGTTTCCATCTTTAGTCTTTGATGCGTACAGCCTACACCCCTCCCCGTAGGTTTTGGGATACAAAAAGTCCTCAAAAGACTTAAGTTTCATCGCGTTCAAGTGACAACTTGGGGTTACTCCGAGCAGCTGGGGAGCCCCAGACAGTCGAAAGAAAGGACTTGCCCGGACCGCCCCCTATCTCCAAGGACCGGGCAGATCCCCACAGAGTAGTTCCACACTGAGCGGCCCTCGGGTGGCCAAGGGGAAGAGCGCCGCGCCGCGGGAGGAGCTGTCGTTGGCTGCAGCCCAGCAGCCCCGCAAGCGGGCGGGCGGCGCATGCGCGGCGCGGATCGCGGAGTTGTGAATGGTGCGTTTTGTTTGCCGGAGTTTCGGGCGGGCGGGCGCGCGAGGAAGAGGGGTGGGGCCGAGGGGGCGGGGCGGGGCGGACGGGCGCGCGAGGTGGGCGGTGAGAGGAAGTGGCTGCGGTGGCGGCCGGCCGGGGGCGGCGAATGCTGGGTCTGCGCGGGCGGTAGGCAACGGCTGAGGCGGCGGCGGCGGCGTGGGCTAGGCTCGAGCGGGCGGCGGCACCTCAGACTCCCGGGAGCGGGAGCCCACGCGGGCGGGCGCCTGAAACAAAGGGAAGCGAGGGTCAGGGCGCCGCGGGTGGGCGGTCAGTCGGTCAGCGCGGAGCCGGCCAGCGGTGCCCGCGCAAGCCCCGAGCCCGGCCGGCCGGCGCGGCCTCAGGGCGGGAAGATGCCGCGCGTCGTGCCCGACCAGAGAAGCAAGTTCGAGAACGAGGAGTTCTTCAGGAAGCTGAGCCGCGAATGTGAGGTGAGGCGGGCGGCGCGGAGGCCGCGGCGCGCCCCGAGTGGGCCCGGGCGGAGAAAAGTTTGGGCGGCGCGGTCCCCGGGCGCTCCGCGCCGGCGCGCCCGCGGCGGAGCAATCTCGCCCGGGCAGCCGTCTGCCCGCAGACTCTGCTTGCCCTTATCGGCGCGGGGCGGGCGGGCGCGCGCGCGGGCGGCGCCGCGGATTTGGCTCCTGATTTCGGGCCGTCTCTGCCTTGCAGATTAAGTACACGGGCTTCAGGGACCGGCCCCACGAGGAGCGCCAGACGCGCTTCCTGAACGCCTGCCGCGACGGCCGCTCGGAAATCGTAAGTCGGTGGGGCGGGGGCCCGGGGGCGCGCGGGGCACTTGTTGCGCGGGGGCCGCCGCGGCCCAGGCCGGTTCCGGACGGCGCCGCGGCTCCCGGAACTGAGCGGGCGCCGTCTCACTTCCTACTCGGGATTCAAAATGCGAAACCAGACACTGGCGGGCCGCGTCCTCGCGGGGACACGCTTCCCTGTGGCCCTCTGCGGGTGGGTCTGTTTCCCAGACACGGCTCGGCAAACAGTTTGCGGCGAGTGGAACTCAAACCCGAGCCCAGCTAAACAAGGAAAGGTCGCTGTATAGGCTGTGACACTGCTTAAGGGGTCGGGGTATTTGTAGGAAGAAAACACTTTTCAGAAACAGAATCGGATTTCGTTCAAGGATCTGCCTCCTGGGCGATAGTTTGTTTCTTAGACGCTAGATTTGTTGGTAAATCTATATGTGAAGCTATCTCACTCCCATTGTGGCTGAGAATAAATCTTTACGCCGGTGATCTGTTGTCCTAATAGAGAAAAAAAGCCCTAAAGAACGTGCCATCTTCTTTTCTTAGAATGTTAAGCCTCAGGAGAATCAGAAGCCGTTATCGTCTTTTTTCAAACCTTAAAAACATTCCCCATTTAGTGCTGCAGTTCCTAAAGAATTGCGTGGATTTGCGAAACCCACAGTTGATCTTGAGGCCGTGTTTTAGGTGGTAGATTTGGTGCTTCGTCTACACCAAATCTTATGTTGGAAAAACATCATCTCCTTTTGGTTTGTTCTATTGGAGGTGCTAGTGAGGGAATGAAGAAGCCAAAGAGTGGGTAGAAAGAAACTAAAGAAAGACTGATTATTAATTAAAAAAGAAAAAAACGTTGAAGTGCTGTATAATGGAGTCCAATGATCTAATCTGTGACTTGGGGCCATTGCATTTGCAGAGACTTGAAGCTACAGTGCAGTTTGAATTTGGGTTAACAATGGGAAGACATTGGAACGTTTACTTTTCCTACCTCCTTTATAGAGAACCTGTTTATTTTTATTGAGATATAATTCACATACCTTAAAATTCTCCTTTTTCGTCATAGAAATCAAATTTATTTTTAAAGAATATTTTGGTATTTAAAATGAAGTCTTTTTAGGTTTGTATTACAGATAATGAGACGATACTGACTAAATTTGTTAGGAGCTCTAGAATATTTGGTCATTATTGCATGTTAATGAAAGAAAATATCCAGCTTTTAGCCCACTTCAGGTTTCCTGAGTAGTTATAATAGTTATATGATTAAAATGTAGAAGACAAATATGTTTTGGTTTTGGCACTGAGTGGTAGAAGAATCGTTCATTAGTTGATCCGGTGATGATATCATCCTTTGCGTGAGGTTCCTTTTGCAAAGGATTTCCTTGAGGTAATTGACGTGAGTGTAAAAGATGAGATACAAAGTACTGTCGCGACTTTTTAAAGCCTAGGTTTTTTTTGGAAACCTAGTGAAGCATGGCTGTTAGGGTGTCTTCTATTGTATCAGACTTCACTGCATATAATTATGAATTGGGAGTATAATTTAACCCACAGTATATCTGAATTGCTGTACAGTACTATAATATTGCTCTAATATTATAGCAGTATTATAGGTTGCTTGTACTGGTCATAAATTTCTTTCCCAGGATAAATCAGACAGACGTTCTAGGCCTTCTCCTCTTCCAAATACCTGATCCTACAAATTTTAATAAGTTCTTAATATTTGACAGGTATTAGAAGTTAAGGAAGGTAGATTGAATTCTGTGTAAGAGTTGCAGTTAAGATAGCATACATGTCTTAATTTGTTGAATAATGTAAGTATTTATATTTGGAAAGGAATTCCACATTCCCTCTCTTTCTAGTTTCCCCCCTTTAATTCAGTGTTTTCCACGTTTAAATTATGCCGGAGGGTGGAGACCACATTACTTCATTAATATACGCCACTCTATGCAGGTACTTTGTACAATGCCTTTTGCATCATAGGTTTTGATTAATTGAATTTAGGGGTTACTTAATTTAATGCCTAAAATTTATCTTTTGACTTATGAGCAGGCAGTGGCTTTTACTTATTTGGTTGTGGAAAGGGCATTCTTTTGCCTATATTTTGACAGCAGCTATATACAGTAAAAATATACATAGTTCCCAAAACTAGTCCCAATCCTTTTTTCCCGTCTTTTTTTTTTATAATTTTATTTATTTATTTTTTCCCCCAAAGCCCCAGTAGATAGTTGTATGCCATAGCTGCACATCCTTCCAGTCGCTGTACGTGGGACGCGGCCTCAGCATGGCCGGAGAAGCGGCGGGTCGGTGCGCGCCCGGTATCCGAACCCAAGCTGCCAGCAGCGGAGCCCACGCACTTAACCGCTAAGCCACGGGGCCGGCCCTCCCCTCTCTTTTTATTCCTTTTATTTTGAACATCTCCTTAATGTATCAGTGAGGTTAATGAAGAATTTATTTTGTATTTAGATGTGAAACAATTTAAGAACTGTGATGCTTATCTGCTCTTAACTATAAAACTTACATAAAGTGATTATGGATGAGGGGTAGAATCTATTTGGTAAAATCTGATTTATTCCTCATATAAGTTCTTATTGTAGTAAGAGTGTTGGAGACGTCTTCGACACTAATGATTGATGAAAGAAAAAAATACTTGTGACAGGTATGGTGACTTTACCATGAGAGCAGTAAAAACTATATATTTTTAATCCTGAAGATGGAAGGAGGAGAAAAGGTATGTTGGATTGCCACAAGATATACGGTTTTATAGTTTATGAAATCTATAAAATATAGACAAGACAACCTGGAATTCTTACATATAGACAATGAGACCAGCGTAGCGTTTTTATGTTTTCAAACTGAATTTTCCCAACTCTTATGTATGTGTAGGTATTCCATTAAAAGAAGAGTTTTGTGGTCAAATAAATTTGGGAAATGCTATTCTAGAATGATCTCTTTCGACCACTTCTGTCTCAGAGAGAGGGATTTTGATGAGATAATGGGCATAAAGTGACGAGCAGGAAATCTCTTCTGAGGTTGGTCTTCACACAGGAGGTGAGGTAATAAGATCTGTAGACTGTCTTTACTTGGCACAGAGCTGATTTGGGGTACACTGAGGGCAGAAGGATTTGTTACTAGGTGACTACTGAAGAAAATGCGTGGGGGATTTTGACACAGTGCATTCATTCATGGGCTGAATCTCTTACCTGCCAACCACTCTGCTCTGAGAATTTCATTATCTGAGGCTGAAAAGTTAGCTCTCCTATCTAGCTCAAGATTATTTCTCGTATATTATTCAGCAAATACTTATACAGTCTTTACTTGGTACTGTTCTAAGCACTTTGCAAATATTAATTTATGAGGAAACTCAGGTACAAAATTAAGTAACTTGCCTCAGGTCATACAGCCTATGCAGTTTGCCTCCTAGAATCTGCTTTTCATTTGACTGTTGTTGGTTCATTTCACTTCACTTGATTGTTTTTTAAACTTATGCTAATAGTGGGGAAAGATTTTTTTTTAAAGGTTAATATTGTAATATTGATGTTTGTTCAGTGTCTATTCATATAAAATATTTACCACAAGAAAGGGTATCCTAGTTGCTTAGGGAAATGCCATCCAAGACATCTGTCTATAGAGATTTAGCAGTTAGGTTGACAGTTGTACCTACAGTATCAATGATAGAAATAGAAAGTATAATTTTTACCTCTAAAGAATCTAAGCTGTTAATCATCAGGGGAACTAGTGGATAGCTGAATCAGCTAATGGCTTTAAACAAATTGCCCAAAATATGAACCCCTTGTTTTCAGATGAAGACTGTATGCTTGGAAACAAATTATGCTTTAGAACTTTAATTAGTAAAATAAAACAAAATGTTCTCTCATTTCAACAAAGAAGAGTTTACATTTAGATGATGAAAAATCTATTTTTTTGTAATGCTTGTTATTTCTTTCTTTCTTTCTGAATTTCCCTTGGGAAGAGGGACAGTGTTATTTCCATTTTTTACTTGGGGGGAAATATAGTTAAATTGCTCAGGGACTACACAGAATGACACTTTATTGAAATGGTTTTAGATGGTTCTGTCTGTTGAACTGTGCCATCTAAATCTTTTATAAATATTTAATGAATACTCTTTTGTTATAGTCAGATCCAGTTCTAAAGTCATACTTTAAAAAATGCATGTTTTTTTTTAATCACCCAAGGTTTTAGAGAGACGAGAAGTGCTGTCACATCACTTGCTAATGAATGGTTTATCAGAAGAGAGACAGTCCCGTGAATTTTTAATATGGGCTTTAGAACATAGTGTTTCCTTGAGCAAGGAAAAGCAAGAAAAATTAAAAGGTCTCATCTATATAACTTTAAATTGTGGTATGCTTTAAGATTCAAAATGTTTAGGTCTTCGGTGACTTTCGCATTTGAAAAGATAAGTTTTTTAATTCAGGTTCGTTGGCTTCTGGATAGACATTAGCAATGCGCGATCCTAACGTCAGCAAAATATGACCTGAAAGAAAGTATTGATTCCATGTCTGATTTTATATTTAAGCAGCCAATGGCAAATGTCCTCAAAATGGAATCAGATGTTTGTAACTTAATACTTAAGAAAAATGATGAGTGCATGTTTTTTACTTTTAAGTATTCTCGGTGCTGCCTGGCTTAAGACAGAAACTGATGTAAAAATAAATGACTGCCTGCATAATTTATGTAATGTCCTGCTCCTGATCCTGTTTGTATTGATTTTTCTAAAAGGCTTTTGTGGCCACAGGAACCAATCTGTCTCTCCAGTTTTTTCCGGCCAGCTGGCAGGGAGAACAGCGACAAACACCTAGCCGGGAGTATGTCGACTTAGAAAGAGAAGCAGGCAAGGTAGGAAACATTTCTTTGCGATTTGAAATACTGTGAATTGTTTTACTAGAGATTATCTGATGGTTTACGTTATAATAAATAGATCACAAGTCTGATCATACAGGCTTATGGTCAGATTTGTTTCCGTATTACAAGGATGTAATACAATTTTTAAAAAATCACTGTCAAATTTTTTTATATCATTCCTTTACTAATTTCATGTATATGACATTCACCACAGAAAGTTCTAGCCCTTAAAGAGAGTTGCGTGCTTTCTTAGATGTAACATTCAAAACTTAATTCCTTTAAAACTATTGACAAGAAATTTTTTGTTTTATTAACGTGTGTGACTACAGTGCTGTAAAAAAAAAGTGGGAAAAGGCTCTTGTAAGCTTAAAATTTAGTAATATTTAGAAATAGCTGATAGGAAACTTTCTACTTCTGTTAATATATCAAATTTAATTTTGATAAAAACAATGTGAAAACTTAAACTAGGAAATAATTTTTTTGTTTTGAGGAAAAGCTTCTGGGAAAACAAATAGATGCGTTTAAAATTTTTATGTTGAAAGTTTAGGTTGAAGATATGAAAAGTGTAGGTAGAAATGTTTAAGCTGAGAGCCCTATTAAAATCTAAGTTAAATGTATTATGTGATTTGGTGAAATTTTAATGAATAATATCTTGGAATGGTTCATCTTTTAATGTAGAAGTGACTCTTCTTGAAATAAAACATTTAAAGAAAAAAAAATTTTTTGACCTCATTTTATACTCAATATTTCTCCTGTTTCCTTTGCAGCGTGTTTCCATACCTTTTTTTATCAACTTGCTAAATTACTTTTCTGAGTGTTGTCATGAATAGCATAACCTATCACTTTTATTTGCAAAACATAAGAAACATCTAAATATTCTTTGAAGAGACTTAAAGGATTTTTGTATTAGCCTGTATTAGGATAAGGATTTCTGATCTTGTTTATATACAATGAAGAGTTTTTTTTTTTCTTTAATTTTATGAAATAAGGTTTGATCTTTTGTGAGTGACTAGTCTTTGGGAAGGGAGAGGGAAAATAGGTTACAGAATTTAAAAAATGAGTAATAATAAGTAATTTGCTTTCCTATATCTTAGCTTGTTTGCTTGGAAGACTAAAAGCAAATGTACTAGCAAATGTACAGATTTCACTATTTGCTAATTCTTATATGTAAGGGAGAAGTTGGGAAGTCATTGTAGGCTGATTGCTTTTTTGCCTGTTTGGTGCATGTTTGTGTGACTACATGAAGAAATTGGTTTTTTCCTTGTTCAAAACACTTCCTCAAAGTGTGTTTAACAAGATAGCTCACATACTACAGATATAAACCAGAAACATTCCTGTCAACTTTAATGCTGAACTATTTTAAGGCTTTAGAATTGACATCTTAATGTTACTGAAGTCCTCCAATATTTAATAACTAATAAATGGGTGTTAGCTCTACTAGAAAGTATATTTGCTTGAATTAATTTAGTGATATCTGTTTACTAGATTGAAGACCACATTATCCTTGGACTTAAGCCATTGAGACGTTTTCAGGTATATGACCAACAATAGCAAAAATGTTGGATGGTTCTTTCTAGTATTTAGAGGATATGTTTTCAAATACATCAGGAAGAGTGATAGAACTGATGCAAGGTATCAGGAAACTTACATTTTATTAATATTTGTTTTAGAAGGTTTTTTCCTGTAAAGGGCCAGATATTAAATATTTTCAGTTTTGCAGGCATATGGTCTCTGTTACAACTACTCAACTCTGCTGTTCTAGTGTGAAAGGAGCCTAGACAATACGTAAACAAATGAATGTGGCTGTGTTCCAAGAATGGTAACACTGGCAGAAATAAGTATCTTTCCCTCAGATTTAAATCTGTGAATGTTTATGTATAGATCATGTATTTTTCATATATAATTTTGCCAGCACTTCTACTACACCAGTCGGATCTAGACGAAAAAAGCATTTTAAGACAAAAGAAAATCTGCTAGTATATTGCTCTAGACCACTGGGCTAAAGTATGCTAGTGAATTTAGAGAAAAGGTCCTGAGTGTTTTCTCATCCATGGAGCACAGGCTATGGGGTCTTTTATTTCTCTTCCTCCTTTTTTATGGTCTCTTTCTGATAACCATTAGCTTTTATTTCTTTCCCCACAGGACTAAGACTAGAAGCAAAGAAAAATTGAAGGAATTTCTTCAAATGTTAATTATTTGCCTCTGCTCCTTGTATTGGATTGCAAGTCAGTGCCTTTTCTTCCACGTGCTCTCAACCTAGTTACCGCCTGAAGCAACTTGCTTCTCTTCCCAGTCACACCCAGCTTTGAAAAAACTAGTTAGAGTTAGGCAGAATTATGTCCTGGCTTCATTTATTGCTGTGTAACTTTGGTCAAGTTTTTTAACCTTTATAGTTCTCAATTGTAAAATGAGGTTAATGCATACTTCCCAGAGTTGCCCTAGTGATTAAATGATATGTAAAGTACTTAGCCCGGTATCTGACACAGTTATTCAAAAATTCATTCATTCAGAAGGTATTTGTTGAACACCTGTTATGTGTTCTGAGCATTGTCCTAGGCAGTGGAGATACATCGGTGAGCAAAACAAAGATCCTGCCCTGGAGGTGGTTTTGTGGAAAGAGTGGAGGAGTAGACAATATACATAATAAATAAGTATGTAATATGTTACAAAGTAGTAATTGCCCTGGAAAAAAGGAAAAGGTGATCAAGTGAGCAGGAATGTTTGCAATTTTAAATAGGATGGTCTGGATAAAGAAGGTCGTATTTGAGCAGAGACCTGAAGGAAGCTAGGGAATGATGAGCCATGCAGGTATTGGGGGAAAAATGTCCCAGACGGAGGAGACAGCCGATGGAAAGGTCCTAGAGTGGGAGCATGCACTGTGTGTTTGATAAACAGCAAGCAGGCCAATGTGGCTTGAGTAGACTGAGCAAGGAGAGTAATAGGAGATGAGATCAGGGGGATAACAAGGAGTCAGTTTATGTGACCATGGTAGGCCTTTGTAACAACATGGACTTTTATTCTAAGTGAAATGGGGATTAGTTTCAGATTTTTGAGCGGATGAATGATATGATCTGCCTTAGGTTTTGAAAGGATCATTCTAGCTGCTGGGTTAACAATAGGCTTTAGAGCGCAAGAGTGAAGCAGGGAGACCAGTTTGGCTATTGCGGAGAGACTAGAGTGGTAGCAGTGGAGGTGGTGAGAAGTGGTCATAGTCTGCGTGTATTTGGAGATAGAGCCAACAGTTTGCTCATGGATTGGGTTTGGGTTGTGAGAGTCAAGAATGACTCCAGCTTTTTGGCTAGGGCAGCTGGGAGTATGGGATTGCTGTCATCTGAGATGGGAAAGGCTGTGGGTGGAATAATTTTGAGGAGCAGTTTAGGACATGTGAATTTGCAGTGGTAGCTTATTACTGCAGCTTCTGTTTTCTTACCACCTACCCTTAACTTCTTAAATTATGGCCCTACTTTTTCATAAGTGACCTCTGTCTGCTTATCTCAAGAGTTCAGTGGCCTTTTAAAAAGAATCAACTTTATGGAACTGGTTTGCGTACAATAAAATACACCCACTTTAAGTGTATAATTTGAGTTTTAAAAAATGTACATACCTGTGTGAACACCGCCCACAGGATATCAAGATAGTCAAGATATGTTTCAGTCACCCCCAAAAGTTCCCTCATGCTGTTTCACAGGAGTCTGAGAGTGGCTTGGCTGGATAGTTCTGGCTTAGAGCTGGGTCTGTGCAGTCTTTGAAGACTTGACTGGAGCTGAAGGATCCACTTCCAAGCTCACTCATGTGACTATTGGTAGGTGACTTCACTTCCTAGTCATGTGTGCCTCTCCTTAGAAAAAGAATGAAGTCACCGTGCTTTTTATGATCTATTCTCCAATCACTTTTGTCTTATTCTGTTCATTAGAAGCAAGTCACTAAGTCTAGCCCACACTCAGCAGGAAGCGGGGAGGATTTTTTCATGCACATGGATGTGAATACCAGGAGACTGGGCTCATTGGGACCATTTTGGAGGCTGGCTACCACAATATTCACTTAAATTTAGGGGATTCGAACATATTAGAATGCTAATAGGAAACAGAAGCTCCATATTCTCTTTGATTTGAAATATGGCTTTATAATCTAAGAAAATGGGCTCAGTGAAATCAATCCATTTATTCATTCATTCTGCCTTTGTGTTTTGTAGGAATATTTTCAAACCAAGAGTCTTCAATAATGAAGGTCTATTAGTGAGTAACTGACCATAAATAGGTACTTTATGTAAGATCAAGTCAGAGCACACAATTTTATAATCTATCTTTCAAATATATTTGAAACTTTTGCACCCAGGTGTCTAGTGAGCTGTTTACATTGGCTCTTAATAAGGGTCTTTCTCAGGGGTTTAAAATGTAGTGTAGTGGAAAGAGCTTTGGATTTGATAAAGAGACAATCATAACTATTTTCCTTACCTGTAAGTGGGGGTCAGAATGTCTGTCCTATTCAGGATTAAATGAGATACCAGAATATGTGTAAATGCCTTTTAAATTAAAGCCCTATCCAGTTAGGCTATTTAATTGTTTTGCAGGGTGAGATTATAGATAACTTAATCATGGAGGTTTAGTACTATAGCTTGCCTTAGGTCAGCTTCACTTCAGCTACACACTGTTGAAATACCATGTCTTTCCCAAGTGGTCCATCCTGGTGTGGTGGAAACCCTGACAGCCAAAATGTTCTTAATTCTTTCTTAATCTAAACTGCTTTCCTCTAATTTAGCTGTCAGAAAACAAGAAAAGCAACTGATCAGAATTTAAATAATTCTTACTTTAAATTTTTATAGACCAAGCAACTCCAATTTCTTTGATCTTTCCTCGTAGGACCCATTTCCAATTACTTTCTATTTTAAACAAATGCAAATGATTATTGTTGACCATAAGTTATTAGTCTTGAGTGGTCAGATTAATGGTTTTTGCATGCACTCTGTGTTTCATAAGGCCTCATTGGGATTTTGA